TTTCTAAAGTGCATAAACTTTTGGGATTGACTATATAGCCAATACATCCTTAAACAATCGAGAGTGAGTGATTCTCGTTCGTCGTGACGCAATCGTAAAAAAAGGCTAACAAATTATTACGTAATAAAAAATTCACGACTTTAACGAACGTGGCTAATGTCAACTAATTATCTCCCTCAATTTGACTCGTTATTTTCAATAATTGCTCACGGTGTATGCATTTAATTGCGCGCGATCGGAAACAAAATAATTTCCGCGTTTGCACGTGTTGAGTCCTAGAAGACTCAAAAGAGCAACGTGACTCCGCGTTTCAAAGCAGCAACGGAAATCATAAAGATGACTGAGGCTGTTTCGTGAAAGGGTGAACGCGTTTGTTGCGCGTCTCAATTAGCTGGAATTGCATCGCGAGTTCATCGGTCCGCGACAAACGCGCACGGGGCGAGGGCAATCATACGCGTATCGCACGATAATTGTTGGCTCCCGTTTTCCCCGAACGCGGCTTCCGCGACACGTTTCTTCCCATTCACCTTTTCCGCGGGGGCTGAATTAAAATCCCATAAAGAGCGAGTTCCTTTCCTCGCTGCTGTCTCATTCGTGGCGCATTTATCGCCTTTAATTTCCATCCTCATGGTTTATTCATGCCGGCTTGTGGACGATTTTGCCTCTGTGTATGTGTGGAAACATTCTCGCGCTTCTTCACGAGGACGTAGACAGACACACGCGTGCCTGTATCAATGTGAATGCGTCCGTGTCCAGGCACGTTCGCAACACGAGCTCATCTTGGATCTCGGCTGTATACGTTCCCACTGATAATACGGAGCTGGCCTGGACCACCTCCAACCCGGTGGCCCCTCAACCTTTACGGACCTCTTCGAATCCGTTTCAACCGGTTTCACGGACTCCCTGTCATTTCCCGCTAATGCGCCCCCTAAGGAACCCTGGGACGGGAGCTTTTACAAACGCGAATGATTGTCGTTCACAAAGTAGATGTGCTCTTTACTATCTTTGATTATTTTACTGAATACAGTTTCTTCTTTAATTGTTTCCATGTTTTTAATTATTTTTTAATATTCTGTGTAAAATTTATTTCAACAGATCAAAAGCTTTATGATTATTATATAGCTTTATGATATTAATTTAGCTGATTGATATTTCTTGATGTGTGTCCTACATAAATATGTTATTTTCATCACTATTTCAAAGTTAGAATAGTATATCGGAAAGTATTTAGCTTGATTACAAATTACCTGTAAACATTCCGTATAGACAAATCAAATTATCCCGAGGTGTATGTTTGCTTCGGAATTGATACACATATACGTATAGCCGCACTGTAGATAGAGTACAATACACGCGGAACGTTTCGCTGGCTAACGAACCAAACCGTTTTCTGAATGCCAAAGAGGGTCGGTGCATCGTTGTCAGAGGTCCGGTCTCTTTTCTTTCGTTCTTAATCTTTGCTGCCGGAAGTTCTTTACGTTTTGTCTGTGATCCAATAAATAGAGGGAAGCAGCAAATCTCGTTTGCCGGACACGTCTGAAACGGTTTCCTGCGAACGACATCGTCGTCGTCGTCGATTCGACCCGAGAGACGACTTCTTGTCTGTCGTGTCCCAAGTAATCTTCAAGTCCGGATCATTTCTACTGCATTGATAATTGGCAAAGAATTGCGATTCACCTCGGGAATGCGTCACACGTACGCGCCATGTTTCTCCGTTGCGAGAAGGGCGAATTTTTAAATTACGTTTTCGCAAATTTCGTTACGAGATCGCGCTTCAGCTTTAAATTGGACGTTGATGAAGTTGCGTCTCTGGTTGAAAAGTTACCCGGTAATTTTCAGCACTTTTTATATTCCGAATTAACCGTATAATTGGCAATACCGTGCGTACGAGAATTTTCGGAGATTTTAATAAAAGCGCGTACCTCGTCCACGCGCACTGATTTTACGCGAGCATCGCCGAGATCATTTTAATAGCGGAACGTTATTAACCTCCCGGACTGAAATTATTTTTAAAGGTACACACACGAATGAAATATCTCGAACGAATCGTTCAATTAATTACAGTATCCTAACAAACAACTAAACCCGCAATGGTAAACTAATTACAACGTTAAATTCATCTATGGATTATTATCGTTGCAAACAGAAAATAAATAAAAAACTGAGTCCCCGTGTCGTTTCAACTTGAACGAGCGAACGCTTTTTCTCGGTCGCCCGGCTAACTAAATCATCGTGGCTCCATTACAAAACCCACCGGGGACGATCAAACGAGTCTTAATTACATTTCTAATTGCGCGAACGTAGCCGTGGCGCGGCGCGACGCGACGAGATGAAATTTCGGAATTGGCCGCCGTTCAATAACGAAAATTCAATTATCTCGCGACCTATCCCACGAACTTAAAATCCACGATCATACCTATGCTCGATCGGCCGAAATTGGGACGCGGCGGAGGTCGAAAAAAATAACTCTGCCGATTTCACGCGGCGCACGTTAACAATCGTCAGCAAGTTTAAAAGGCTCGTTAGCAGTGCTGATAACGATGGTACCCTCTCCAATTCGCGACTCGAGTCTCGAAAACTTCCTCGCGAAATTTCATTTAATCGGGGCGGCCCTTAGCACGTGGCACTCACGTTGAATACGTTTAAGGAGCTTCTGTATTTTGCAAGAAAATTCAAGTTGACTGCATGTTCAAGAACTTCGTAGCTACAATATATAATATTTAATTCTATGTGAAAGGTAAAAATTTCACAAATTGTGTTATTACAAATTAATATCGAGCGTACTTAAAATTGGATATGTAATCAATTAAAAGTTACATCGAGTTACAGGATAATTACGTTTCAATAATATCGTTTCCTGGATGTCAACGCTAATTTTTACGTGAGCCACGTTTGCCTCTGTCCTCAGATCGGGGAACCTCCGACGACGGCACGGACTACAGCCTCTTGGTGGCCTGTTTCGCAGGCGGCGTGACAGCCGTGTGCATTCTGATCGTCGGGATAACGCTGACCCTGTATCGTCGCAACCATCCGATGCAACCGATCAAGACCCACACGGTAGTGCAGTACGGGAACAAGGAGGGCAGAGTGGTGATCACGCCGTTGAGCAAAGAATCTCGGGACGAGCTGAAGGGGCAACTGGGCAACGATACGGCGGACGACGATCCGGACGTGATTCCAAACAAGACTGACAAGAGGCCGGACATCTTCGAGCCGAATTACGAGATTTTAAACAGGTCGAAAGATTTCACACTTCTCGAGGAACGCGATTACCCGTCGCCGTCGTCGATGGTGTACGCCAAGGACTCGTGGATCTATCCGAACGGTTACGTGGAAAAAGTAGAGAAGAGTCTCAGCCCGTTGCGACCTAGCACGCTCCCGGTTCATCGTAGCCACGATATCTACACGAGGAGTTCGCGCCTCCAAGAAAGCTGTATATAAAATCCTAAACGTCCCTCGATGTCATAATTGGATCATGGAACTTTGAACATATCAGCTGTCTTTGTCATCAGAAGATCGGTTTGGATCCTATTATATCTGCTCCATACGATGTAGCCTTCTCTGTTGTACAGATAAATGTACATGCGTTTCATACTTCAATGTTTGCGAGAATATGGGATAATTTCATTTTCCAAGTACGGAACAGTTTTAGTGGAATAACGTGTTAAAACGACAGATCTTCGTTTGTCAGTTGTATGCAAAATTCTGGACTCGCTGTTAAAGGCGAGTCGAATGAAACGCAGCAAAAGAGCGACAAAAGGCTCACTGTCATCGTTCAAATTCGAGATTGCGACTCATGCCAAAGCGTCAAACATGATAAACGACGTTTGTAAATAGACAATAAGTATCAATTAAGATTCCTGTCCGAACTATCGAGAATCTTGTTCTTATTTTGTCACCTAGACTTTAACGTTAATCGTAAACGTGGATGTAATGTATAAAAATCGAGAATACAGAAGGAATCATTTCGTTCGTCACGGCAAACTGTACATAGACAATAAATTTGCGTGTTCCCTGAATGTTCGTCTCCCAATCATTCCCGTACTACCGATCTCATCGTCAGTACCGTGGTCAGTTTCGTGTTGAACATTGTTTCGTGAGAATACTTGATGTACCGTGTGCGAAGATGAGCGCGTTTCACCTGGCGAACGCGTGAATGCTTGTTTAACCGATCGAAGCTTTTAACGAGCATTTAAACGTTTGTATATATGGATAATAAACCTCGTTGTTTAATAACTTGCAACGAATTTCCCGTTTCTTTTCCAACAGTATTTCCCGCGGCGTTGCAGCAGCGATAGACCGAAGGTAAGAATTAATTAATTACTATTACAGTCTTTCTGTGTATTAAAATCCGACTAATCTATATAAAACAAGAATTGTGGGACTGGATAAAACTCTATTTTTATTAATGCTCCATCTCTTCAACTCTGCTTATTTTATATCTTGATTCTAAAGAAGCACATAAGATTTCATAAGACGAGTAAACTTTTTAATGGCAAGGACCCGTCGCACGGCTTTACATAAATTCGAACTTCGATTCGCGCTTGACGGGAGACTGTTTCTCTTCCATTAATTCTTCAACGTTTGGGGGATTGTTGACTGATTCCGGATGCACCAGTTTACCGGACCGAAAGATATTTCCGTAAGCCGCTTATCCTTCGTCACGAATCCAGAGATTTCGCGCAGTGGCTCGTTTGATGGTCAACGTTGTACACGTGTCCAACAGATTCCCATCTACCTCATGGTATCAAGGAGATGATGGCTAACGATAAATCCTTTTACAACGTTTGTCCAGCGAATCTCGTTTGACTTAGTTTAGAAAATAAAATGTGGAATCCATTCTACTCTCGAAAATTCTCTGATCTTTTAGTTTGCTGGGAATTGAGAAAGCATAAGTGATTTCTTTATTAGAATTTATATTTCACTTGATATCATACTGATTTTTCTTTTATCTTCACCACTAAAGGATGTCGTATATTTTAAAAATTTGTAAGTTAATTTCCACTTGACTCTTCACTTCCTTATTGCATTTACGGAACGTTATCACAGAATATTATCTCGCGAATAACCAGCGAACTACGCGTGGAACCTATGGGCTTATCACCGAGCCGCGACAGTATTTTCACCGAGAATCGAGACGCTGATATAGCGGCCGGCTCTTTCGTGCTTGTTCCGGAATTTATGACGGACGCCCTAACGTTTTGGTAGCTCGTAAATTTCGCCGGTTGCCGCTGAGAGCGCAAGTCGTGTATTTTCCTTTCGTTGGGGAACGATTTCCACGATTAGTTAAAACTTTGACCAACTTTCCATCTCGCAATAGTTACTATTTAGTTTCATAACACTTGTCTCGTGTACAGTAGAACGGATATTATAATTGAGTAAGAAATAATAATTGGGTGTACATTATGAAAACAGGAAGTGCTGAAATATTCTACTTTTATAAAGTGTAATCTTTTTTTGCATAATAAACAAATATTTGACATTTTATGGAATAATTTAATCTGGCGTCCTCTCTAATTGTTCATACTTTATAATTAAATGCAAACATGATGCAACAATATGACTTTCTTTTCAAGTTTTCAAAATAAAATTTCTTTTAATATATATGACTTATAAGGTTCCCACGACTACTTCGGGTGGACTAACATCTTTTATCGCTGTTTCCATTTCGCTGGCTTCTTCATTTTGCGCCCCGTGGATCCTACGTCACCTGTCGCGGCAGAAGACTAATATGCGAATTAAAAATTCAATTATGAATCTGTACCGAGTGATTCGTTTCTGCCACGGTGGCCGCGTTGGGGATAATGTCTTGACGATGATCATTAAGTTATAATGAGTTCTGTGATTGTGTTTGTAAAGAAACTCGTGTTTGGATACTGAAGCAGAGGGTCAAATAAAACACGAAGGGCCAAGTTTTGACATGAATTATTAACTGACATTCGGAAGAATATTTTTAAAAGTTAATTTTTAAATCAGACTTGAATCTGGATCTTTAAATATTTAAATTGGTTCGCAATTTCTGGCAAGGATTAAGCCAGTCTCTTTCAAGTTTCATTACCTACTTTTCAATTATTTTGAATGTTTGATTTTATAGATTAAAACCTGATGGAGTAATATTGCTCGGACTACTATACTTGGATTATTTTTTATTCAGAATCACTCTACAGCGGAGTTGGTGCACTTTTACAGGTTACACGGAACACGTGTACATTCTCTGTATTTTGTACACTCATCCTTCAATCTCGTTCCACGTACAGAAATTCCTCATGGCTTCTCGGGGCAACGGGGACCTACCGATCCTCATAAAAATTGCAAAGAGTAAACCGTGATGGCTGTAAATTCCGCACGTTGCGAGGTTGCATCACGCCCGAAGGAAATTTATCTCTTCATTGACGCGACCCGACTCAAAAATTCTTTACACTCTAAGCGATACGTACTATCCCTGAAAGGTATGCAACGGAGAATTCCCAATACAAATCAACTACAAGTTATCTAAAGACTGAGAATTTTATTGACGTTGAATATCGTGATATAAACATTTTTCAGAGTATGAAAATATATTCTGAAAATTACACGTGTACGTAGTTGTACTTGTCAGATGCAAAAAATTTTGTCAGTACCAATAAAATACCGATTGATCAAATTTAACTCATTAAATATTGAAATTAGAAGAAAAATACATAGAAGCTTTCTTGTATGTACAATATATACACGCTTAGCGTTATATGTATGTATTGGAACGCGTCATGCATAGAATTTTACATTTATTTCACCGGACCATAATCCCAGGACTGGAAACTATGGCCACGCGTGTGTGCAGTAGCTTGTTGGAAAAATTGTATCTTCTTAGCTTCCACTAAGATGCAACCTCACGTCGACGAATAGGAACGTTTACGTGACCGCGATTTTAATACTCCATGACATACGATAAACATTCCCAGCTACCGTGTACTTCGTCCCGGAATAAATTTTACTTTTGCTGCTTCCAATATTCTCGATTTCAATTTGTCGATATACATTCCATATCATTTTTTAATTTACCATCGAAGTCTATTGAATCACTTTATTGAGGTCTCTTATGATTTCAAGTAGCTACCTTCAGAATTAATGGAACGAGGAAGAATTGTGAAATAAAAATGCTAAGATTCGTGTCTATTCATTTATCAATCAGAATTTTGCCATTTCCATTAATCGTCCATAGTTACTCGTGTGATCTTAACCAGTTAAGTGTGTTTGACGACTATATCCGTCAATCAATAACGGTATCGGTCGTCGGACACACGTAAAATTTCGCGCAGTATCCAAATCATTTCATTTGACGACATGTTTTGACAAGGAAGAAATATAATCGTACTAGAGCGGAACTATGCACCGGAAGAATCCTCCGAGACAGGCCAGAAATAGACGAGCGAGAGGAAAACGGAATATAAGTAAACAGACGCATCACTATTAATTTAACCTCGTACTGAATTACCATACGAAAATGTTAAACCGTTTATTCGTACGAGCGACGTGAAACATTTCGTTGCTGCACCAGAATAATACAAAGACTGAAAAAACGGTATTTCCCTCGGAATTGTAACATGCGCCGCACTTACGTTCGTAACGTGGCATAAAATCCGATACGTTCCCGGTATCTCGAACACGGTCTGTTATTCCTTGTGCGAAATTGTAGAACGTTGCTACGCGTAGGTATCGATTCGTACGGTTGCTGAAAACGGCACGGGGAATGATCGTGTAAAACGGCGGGTATTGGGTGTTCAGCCGCCGCGGTGGTGCTACAACTCTGAGGCGCCGCGACCGACGAAAAATGCACAAGGTTGCTCGAGCAAGTGCCAGGGGTGGGAGGTTAGAAATCACGATGAAAGGAGAGCCAGCTGGGGGATGCGGATGCTGATGGAAGGGTGCCAGACCGAAGTGGTCTCGCACTTTACGAGATGAGATACACCCGCGCCTATTAAAAGGCGACAGCACCTATAGTATGTACCGCGCGATATACAGACGCTCAACGGACTGCTGGCGGGATTGCGATTGAAATTCTTCGAGGAGCTCTTCATTCCTTCAGCCGTTCAAAACATCCTCGTAAATCATCTTTTTCTCGCCGCGGGAGTAACGTTCAAGAAACGTGTAGAAAAAAATTGATATTTCAAGTCGCGAGAGAGGCGAAGAGAAAGCGATGATTTTCGGATGTAGTGACACTTCTTCATGTTCGATGACTTCATTATCGTCAATCTAGATTGAAGACGCTCTCTTACGATCTGGTTATTTTTGTACACTTAGATCTGTCGTACATTATCTCAAGGAAGGCAGAAGCTATTCTCTCGTCGGTCTTGGCAGACATACTCGAGGAGTCTTTCGAGGATGCGAGGAATCTAGCGGAGAACGCTGGTAACAGCAGCGTGACCCGCGAGGATATGGAAAGATCATTGAGGAACCTCTGCCTACGTTTGAGCACGGTGCCCGCACACAACGCTCCAATCGATACTCACGCGGACGATAATAATAAGGATTTCGCTGCCTCGTCGAAGGTTGGTCGTACGAGGAAACACAGATAGAATAAGAAAAGAATAAAGCAAAAATATCCTGTCCGATCGTCGCAATACTGGATCAATCACACGCCGATAAACGAAACAGGTTGTTACAGAAGGGTCGCGTCGACGTTACAGTACCTCATCGCGCTGCCACGGGGACTGCAGTCACAAAATAATAACGATCTATCGCAATCTTCGTTTCCTTCGGTAATCATGTCCACCACACACTGTATGCACGGCGATCGGTGACGCACGCGAACTCGCGTGAACGCATGCCTCGTGCGAGTGATTCCCCATTTCGTGGAATCGATGTGCCACTGTTCTTCATGGGAAATAAAAGATACTTCAAACTGATCGACCATTCAATTTTCCTACCTATTACGACGTATTTAATTGATTATTAAAGGAAAGTAGAACACGCGTGTACATTTTCTTCCACGTAGTTCGTTTAATTATATTTACTGTCGCCTCAGGGGGTTAAAACGTTTATTAAAATTGAAATAGACGATGTAAGACTTTAATGTTTGTTTCTCGGAATTTAGTACCGTCGCTTTACATACGTGTAACTACGAGGATGGAAAGAATTACAAGAGTCGAACTCGTTCCGTGTTGCTGGATGTGTAAAAATTGCGCGAAAAACGATCTCGCGGTCGTTTGTCGACGCGATAAAGCAAAAATAATTTCGGCATTGTTGACAGGACGCTCTAATGGTCACGATGGTTTTTGCTATATTTTCACCGCGTTTCTGACTTTTCGAGCGTCCGCCATCCAGCCGACCGATTTTTACGCGTCACGTCGAGCCGCGCGAGTCACCGTGAATAAAACACAATGGATGCTCCATTAGAAAGAGATAAAGCTGTATCTACGTGTGCACACGCGTGTGTATAACATGCCTACACGGAGGACAGAATGGGGGACAGCGTTTCTCAATTAAAAAGAAATTCAGAACGTTAATCGACTGATTATCTCGTCGATTATCGATAAAAATACAGGGCATAATAGAGAATGTCACGAATGAAGAGATTGAACGTTTTAATTAATTCCTCGTATATTTTATATTAAGAAAACTTTTACTGAGGTGCATTGAAACCGCAGAATATAAAATCATATTATTTTCATTAATCCGAAGGATATTGAAATTATAGATAGTTTCTTTTGTTACCACAGTTTCACTTTACAGAAGGCAATTTCTGTGTTATCTCGATACTAGGTTTTCTTGATTTTTGAAAAACCCACTCGCCGAAAGCGGTGTACGTTTCCCGTAAATGAATTAGAAGCGAAGTGACGGGAATGAATTCTGTCGATTGCGACTGCGGTATTTCTTGTTCAGCCAGTGTTGTTTTCGTTTTCTGATTTTTCCCAGGAACCGAAAATTCGACGTTTTTCTATAACGAGATAGAAAATGCAGATATATCGCGCGTCTGTCGGTCGTGAAACATTTTTCGCCAGCGTCCGGCCCGGTGGAAAAGAAGGATCGGGGTTAAAACGTGGCGGACACCGATAATCAATCGAAAAATGATTTCGGATAGCGAAACGGATCGGCCGCCGGGCAGATAAATCTATAGAACTGGCGATTAAACAGATACGTCGCGCCGTCGAAACGAATGTCCACAATTTTCGGAGATCCCCGGTTATGGAACGCAGCGGCTGAAATATATTACGTTTATATATCGACGGGGTGGCGCGGCGTTCCGCGAAATCTCGATCGGTGAACGCGATTTTGTTCGTTCGTTCGTTCGTGCAGATCTTAGATAATGTTGTTTTTGCATAAACATTCAGTCCCACGGGAACGTTTTGCAATCGTTTTATCATTCCACGTCTCGCGTTTCCAGTCAGTCGCTTTTTTCGTTCTATATTTTTAATCATTATTAGATTTTACATTCCTCTTTCATATTCGTAGCAAATAAAAGTATCGAAATAATTATTAAATCGAAGGAATTTTTAGAAAGCTGTAAACACTCAAGCTTGAAATGCATCGAAATTGCATTTGAAACGGAAAGACGCACATTATCATGTCAAACCGAAATGATTTGAAGTTCAGAAGACAGCAACGTTTGGAAGATTGAAATGATTCATTTAGTCGACGCTACGCCGCTTGGCGATTAGTCGTAATCGCCTTCCAGCTAATAAGTGTTTTACAGAAACGTCTATTTATACGAGGGAACGCACGGGGCGAAGGTGCGGCGCAGCGTCGGAGCAAACAATCTTCGAAGCAATCAAGGTGGTCCGGCTAAACCTGAAATTAACTGAAAACAAATTAATTTCAGTCTCACGCCGACCCCCGGTCAGGACCCTTTCATACCTGAGGACTATGTGAAATCCTATTGCCACGCCCCCTTAGCTTTCTCTCAAATAATTACGCTAACTCGATCAGATCCTAATTAAATAGTAAATTTCTCACGCGCGTTCATCAAACGACGCGGCCACCTACTAAAATTTTAGTCTTCCCTTGTTTCGGAATTTATTATATGCACAGCAGGTACTGTGCTCCGACACAGACAAGATTCCGTGGCTGCTTATAAAGGAAACATCTATTCATTTATTTAAGTTGATGCATATAACATACTTTTCTAGTATTCGAATATCTTAAGTCATTGATCATGCCTGGTTATCAATTAACACGTTCCGTGCCAAGCCATTTTTGCCTGACTTGTCGTTCAGGCCATTTGATATTTTGATTAAAGATCGATATATTATCACACAATATTAATTATTGTATATATAACAATTAAATAAACTTATGTGTTTTGTTCTTTACTGCATCTTGTATAATGCTTCATTTTTTAGGTAGAAATATAGTTTACAGAATTATATTTGTAATAAAATATATGTTTTCAGCGCATTAAATAAATATGACTGCGTGTACCACCGGGGGTACACGTGGCCTGACGATCAAGTTTACCGTGTACCACCGGTGGTACACGTGGCACGGAACGTGTTAATGAACTGAGAATTACAGTTGTTAAAGTTACATTCATCAAACTGATGAATTAATCACGTTAATAATAATCTTATATTTTTAAAACGAGTGATTGATTAAATATTTTATAAATAATGAAGGTTTAACAATTGTGGTAAATAATTGTTTTGCGAGGTATTATGGACTGATTTATACCTTAAAGAGGCGGTCGGACAGTATTATATTGCCAACAGTTGTCCGAATCAACGTTCATCATCAGAGGAATGCCATTCGCCCTCCGAAATGAACTCGTAGACCAGCCAGCCAAGTTCCCTGCCGTTCGTCAGTTGTTCCCCAGGCATCCCGACGCCTCCGGGTCCGGTCTTGCGTTGAAAAGTTAGCGTTCCCGAAATTCTTCAAATTCGCCAAGGCAGCCCAGACGCGGCGAGCCGCCCGGAAACGAATTAATTTCGGCAGGGCGTTCGCGTCACATTCGAAATGAGTTTTCAGGTGAGTCCCGTCCACCCTTCGGTCCCTGAAGGCTTCGTAAAATAATAACTTTATGGAAGCGGCGCACGGCATGAAGCCATGAATGAGACGCTTCGAGGCGAAGAAAAGACCTCCACCGAGACAGAGAAAAAGAGAGAGAGATGGAGTGTCTGTGTGTGTGTGTGTGTGTTTCTGTGTGTAAGCGAGAGAAAGAGAGAAGAGAGTGGCGTGCTGTGAAAGAATAGGACTAAAATAGTCTTCTCGGCAGCAAACGGAGAAAAACTTATTCCGTCTGCTCGCCCGCAGCCCGGAGCTGCTCCATTGTGAAACGGCCAACTATTGTGTAGTTCGTGGTAACCGTGGACCACTGTCGTTCTCTCTGCTCTTTCTCCGGCCTTCCCGTTTTCTCTCTGGACTCTGGTTTCTTCCTCTCTCAGTCGGCCGATGTGTCGACCGTTTCGTTTCTTTCTTCCGGCGCCGCAACCCAGCGTACTCGTCCCTCGGTCCCTTCGCTCCTTCGTTGATTTTCCCCGGCTTTCCAGGTTCCTCGTTGTTTTCCTTTCACCACCGGCCACGATGATTTCCAAGAAGATTCCCGACGATTCGTTTCACCCGATCGTCGATCAAAATACTTCCTGACAACATCATTCATGTTTAATCAGACAACATTATTAATAAATCAAGTGTGACAATACAATTTTCAATTCGAATTCCTGTTATTAGATCGACAATGAAAAATCTTTTCTCCGGCAGACAATTCTGCTTTTTCCATCATTAACGATCATCCCCCTACATTTCGATGTTCCGTTTGCTTTTCTCCGTGACATTCCATCCTCGATCCATCGCACAGCTCCGTTTCCTCGTCCCGCTGTTCAATTTTAAAGAATCGTTTGACGATTCGGTTCGCTGCCGAGAGAAGAATCAGGAACGTGGAAAGACGGAACAGTCACAGTACAAAGTGCATAGTTCACGGTGAAAAACCGGTTTCACCGCAATATTTCAAATATGAGTTCGACTCTTTCTTAGATATCCGTACACAGCATTCTATTCGTACATTTGCATGTGCGTACCGTATCGCGTTATTAAATTGTATAGCTACTGCTAACAATAACGCAGAAAAGAAATATTGCGACAATCTTGAATTTTTATCAACGCAACTTTTCTCAGCAATTAAATAATAGAGCAAGAGTTCTCAATAGATTTAATGATTCCGGGAAGCTGTGCAGCTTTCACTTGCATTTGTGCGAGTAAATAAAATTTACCTCCCGTCTCGACCGATCTTTCCTAATTCACGTGAATTAGGAGCGACGCGTCTTTTCTTCCTTTTTCCATCTACTCTTACCTCCGGTAATCGAGTCTGTAACGAAGTCCTAGGAACGTTCTAAATAGTTTAGCAGCCACTGTGAACCTGCTGGAGAGGCTAGATTTCGCAATGTGAAACCGTTTCACTTCTGCGAATTCCCAACGACGGGAATATAATCATGGTTAGAAATTACTATTAAACAAGTTTAATGGTTAAAACAAGTTTTACTATTAAACAATTAATAATAATACTATTAAGGAAAGTTTATTCATTTTACACTTCAATTTTTCCATGGCACGATTCTATCTACTGAATTAAGATAGTTAAGCTTGA